GGAAAGAGGAGAAAATCTTTCTTTGTATCTCAGAACTATAAAATTCTACATAGCTTCTCAGAGGACATGCATGCCCTGAACATAGGCTTTTGCTGTAAGCTAGTTTATTTTGGTTTGAAACATTTACACCTTAGGAAGAAGGAAATATAATAGAGTTGTTGTGGGTTCCTGTGCCAAAAATGTGATGCCTGAAAGAATATCGTGTTCTTCTATTTGTAACCATTTTAATCTTTCTGCAGACCTACAACAGCTGTGCCAGACTGTGCTTAAATCAGGAAACAGTATGTCTAGGAAGCACTGCTATGAAGACTGAAAATTGTGTGGCCAAAGTAAGTAAAAGACCGGCTTTGGTTTTGAGGTTTTTGTTGCAGATTGTTCATTGTTAATGAAAGGAAAGTTCTTGTTAAAAATCAGAGTTAGGAAAAAATGTTTAAACAGAAAGACAGTATTTTGGGTAGGCTTTTCTGTCCTTCAGTGTAGAGATTTCAGACTTGCTGTTTTTCTCTATTGGCAATGATTACTTGAGTCTTGAGCTATCTAGGATTGAAGGGTTCATTCTGCTATACAAGTAATAGGCTTTTCCAGTAGGATGACCTATGCCTGCCATGTAATTAGCTGTGGCATCTTCAAATGATAGATGTCCAGATACATGCTAAAAATACTGCATGAGAGCTCTTAGTATCATGGTTCCCTTTCTTAGCTACTGGAGGGGAGGTGCAAAAAGAAAGATCTTTCAATTAAAATACAGTGAATGCTGTGTTTAAGGAAAAGGGAGGAGGGAGATGTGGCAGTCAGAATGGTAAGAAAATGGATATATTAGCCCATGAGAGAAAATTTGTTCCTTGAGAATTGTCGTAGATGTGATTGGAAAAGACGACGTGCCATTAGCCACCCTCTTTTCTTAAAAGTCAGCGTAAGTAGAGTAAAACGACATACGTGCAGGGCTGTTTGTGAATGGAAAACATTTGAAGCGTGATGCAATATGTATAGAAAGGCTGTGTGAAGGATACGTTTAGCCTTGTGTAAGCTTCGTATTTCCCCTGAAAGGAAGTTCAGAATGGGCATGCAGGACAGATCAGTGCACGCAGCCATCTGTTACCCAAACCAGCTGGCATTTTGTTGCTCCTCTGTCACCACAAACCTTACCACTCAAAAGACTGTTTTCTCTTTCAGTTATTTATTCCTTGATCTTCTTGAAGTCCTTTTTTTTTTTTTTCCATACTCTGAATGGTTGTTAAAGGTGCTTTGTCCCTTCGGGGGCCACTTTTGTATTGACCTTTAAGATAATTTCCCAACTAAATCTTTGCTAGGATTTTGCTGGTGAAATTTGGATGTCCCATTATTCCGATTCCTGTCAGGGAATTGGCCATCGTAAAAGTTTGTCATGGTGCTTGAAGGTGGCTTAATGCTCATAAACTATGCTTGACATACCAGGTTACCTTCCACAGGAGAAGCACTTCTGAGAGAAGCTACCAATCTTGGTACAAAGGGCTAATATTTAATACCAACACCTCCATTCCTAAGTTGACTGCTATTGCACGCCACTTTCTAAAGTGCGTTATCATACAAAGCAGGCACAGCTACAGGCTGGGCGGAGAAGA